AAAGAGATGCTATTATCAAAATAGGCAACTTGCTCTATATTTAATTTTATCGATAAACAGAATACTATTAAAAACTTATTTATTTATAAATTAATCTAATTCTTAAGTATTAAGCCAAACATGGACAGAATTTTTCAATTGTTAGGAATTACTAGTTGTCGAAGCTTTTAGAGACTTTTCTAAGAAGGGTACTCATTAGGTATTTTTTCTTAGATTTACATTGGTAGACATATATCATTTGCTCATGCTTATCATTCTTCCGTCAATTTTATATTTTTTAAGGAGAGCGTCGATTTTCCATTCGATAAGAAAAGCTATGAAAATTTAGTAGATCATCTTAGAGTTGACATTTAGATCTGTACTTACTTGAGAACTAGGCCCTTGATTGATCTCCATTATTTTTAAAATATATTTTTATCTCTTTTATTTTTAATCACGTATTCTTCAATAAAATAATATTATGTTCATCGAAAAAAATTTAAATTTCAGAACCTGTCTGGCCAAGCTTTTTGGCTGAATTTTCATCAAAAATCCTATCGTTGGGCCGCACTTTTTGACTTTCACTCTCTCACGCAACGTTCTGTTTTCTCATTTTAATCCCAGGAAAAGCTTGGCCAGACAAGTTTTCAATCCACTACTCCCAACATCTTTATCTGACTCCATCCCTGACTCACATTATCTACAAAAACCTTTTCTTTTGTTTAATCAAGAAACTACAACTTGATAAATAAAAAATTATTTATTTATATCTTATCTGCTGAAAAGAATATTTTGACTTGATTTGGTCATAAACTATTTGAGCAAAGGGACATACTTTGTATACATACACACTCATGTGAAAGTTAGATTAGTGGAGGCCACTGTATGAAAACCACTCTCTTTATCTGCATCATTTGTGACTATCTTATCAGATCTATCTGTTATCCTGACTCCAGAAGGATCTTTATGCACGAAACGCGAATTGGGTTGAGTTGATTTTTATTCAATCATCACGTCATCAGCTAAAAATTTAAATGATTAAAGACACCCTATATTTGTTTATGACTTTATTTTCGACATGACAAAAGTATCACTTAACTTAAGTTTGAAGTTCTTTTGATCTGAAAAGCATGAAACATATAGACAACACGTTAAGTAAAGTATCCTATGTGAGGAAAATGGGTTGAACCATTTGGTGTGAATACAAGACATGTTAATTCTCTCGTG